GGTTGGCAGTTAATTTGCATATCGCCCTGATTAGCCAATGGGAAGGGTAGCGAAGTTACGGTTAATTACCATGTTTCTCTATTATTAGATAGGATAATAAACTTAATTAAAAAATAAACATCAGCATGGCTGGTGCTTGACTGAATATTACATGAATATTCAACCATTTAGTTTTCTGACCATGGGCTCTGAGATCCATAATCTCATACGTAGATTGTGTTCATTTTAAAAATATGTTGTTCTTTGATCACTTCATCCTACTGGGTGCATAAAGCATGTTTTGTCATATATTCATACCCCACTTGTGTTTGCTTCATTGTCAGGAAATAGAAGGCTCTTAGTAATTGTCTCTCAGGCTTATATCCAATGCTAATTTGGCTTCTGTGTGACTTGGTGATACAATGTCATGCTTAATCTTGCCGTTCTGGAAAAGAACACTGGAGTAAGGGAAACACAGAAGTAAATCAACTTCAGTCACATTAAGGCATGTTCTGTCTCAGAATTATATAGGTATGTGTTATTTAAATGTGATTAAGTTGAATGGCTCTTCTCATTCATAGAATAAATGATGATTTCTCTTTGTAGTAAGCATGTGTTCCTCTATGTATACCCCCAAATACTTAATTTTGGATGAGTGTTCAGGTTACCTATTTTATTTTTCTGTTTATGAAACATTTTAGTGAAGAAAACCTAAAAGTATTCTTCTTTGATCCAACTTGCTATCTGTATATGTAACATCTATACAAAAATATAACTTCCTTGGCCATAAGTCATGGGAGAAAAAATATATTTTTAAAAAGTCAACATATGGGAAAATTTCCAATTTTCTGTAGTGTCCCAAACTTTATTCCTGTCATCTTAAAATAAATGTATCTTTTTGCTACCAAAAAAAAAGGTGTATGTTTGGAACCTTATAGAAAATAGCTCCTTTTAGAGAGAAAATTATGTTATCTGTGTTGTCAAACAATAACTTTAACCTTGTATAGATTACATTCAGACTTCAAACTCTATCAACTCAGATTATGTCCTGAACTTCATTAAAATTAAATCTGTGGTCACCCCGCTTCCTATAAATCCATTATACTCTGCAGACACTTGCTGTGTGACTAGTAATGAGTGACTTTTCGCCCCATGAGTCACATGATGGAGATTTTGCCGTGCTTGCAGAACTCACCAGATCATTATTTCTGTAGACATGATGCCTCACACGGAAAGGTCATGAAATGCTTTAAAGGCAGAAATTTATGATTGCTCTTAGATATGTATCATCCACTTAGTGTGAAAGGGTGAGACTTCCATAATTTTTAATTAAGTCTAGTAGCTGCATCCTAAGCAAGCTGTGCTGGAAAATCATAGGTGTTTATATAGTAAATCATAAAGGCATAAATTCAAAACATAATTTTAAATGGAAACCACAGAAAAGCCACATCAATGGGGAATCTACTGCTATTTGTCTCTGGTAATAACAGTTACAAAATCTGGTGCAATTACATGAAATATTTAATGAAGACTCTATTCTTCAGAAAATATTTATTTAATACCTATTATTTGCTGGACACTTACACATATTTTATCTTCCTCAAAGCAAGCATTTTATAACTCTGAGATTTTTTTTTAAAAAGTACTTAGGAACTAGATTTCTAGGAACTTTAAAATATTTTCCTGCAATTAGATAACCCTTCATAATTCTAAATAAAAGTAGGAGGTTTTTGTGTTCTTCCCCAAGAATTAGTGTTTTGTATGTGTCACAGATGTTTCTAATTTTCTGTGGATCAGAAAATTACTGGATAACCTTAAGGGGAAAGATCACATTAGTAAAATTACATATACAGCTTTGAGACATAAAATTATAGAAATTTCTGGTGAAATAACTTTTGAAAAAATTCATGAACAAAATATTTATCTGAACTTACAAAATAAATGCAGAAACCTATACTTTTGTTTATTTCAGTCATAAATTTACTTTAAACATTACCGTATTTGCCGGCGTATAAGACAACTGGGCGTATAAGACGACCCCCTAACATTTCCACTCAAAATACAGAGTTTGTTATATACTCGCCGTATAAGACTACCCCCTCTTCCGCACACCTTCCACACACCAAATAAAAGGTAAAACAATATCAGATTTGATTTTAACATTTTAATTTATATTCAAATGCTTATGACATGCAGGAAAACTGTCACAAGGCTGTATGTAATCAAACATATACATAAAAAAGTGCAAGTTTATTACCGGTAAACATACCGGTAATTCACTAAAGAAAACACACTCTATAGACTGGTACCGTAGATGCTTCTCAGGAACACAGGCAAGCAGCCCACAACCTAGAGGGACTGTCAATGATAGAAGTAAGATAACAAATAG